TGCGGGGAACTCTGCAAAAAACGCATCTTCGCACGGGCAGCCCGTGCGTTGGCCATTTATGAATTTTTACAAAACAGTAAATAGGGAAGAGATGTGTTTGCTAATTCATCTGCTTGTCTATTATGCACTTTTTTGCATTTGTGCAATTCAGAAAACGCATACTGACGAGAGGTTGCCCCTGTGTGTGTGTCTGTGTGTTCGTCTGTACCGATTTTTCATCTCGGGATCTACAATAGTCACAGGGCTGAAACTTTGCGAACTTAATCTACATGTGTGTACGGACTCTCTTCTCCAAAATGGGCGCTCTTACCCGCGTATTACCCATATAGGGGCCCGCCAAAGTCTTTTACGGACAACCTGCTAACTCGGAAACCAGAAATGCTGGAAGGCTGGAACTTTAAGGGGATGTTTTCAGACAGCCCTGGTAGCTAGTCTTAACCATTTTAGCTAGTAGCATTTGCCGGAAAAACCGGTGCCGTTAGCTACAAGGACCTGCGGGGAACTATGCAAAAAACGCATCTTCGCACCGGCAGTCAAAACCCTTTATTTTTCTTTTGCTGCTAAACAAATCTGAAACGAGTACAAAAAAATTTCCAGTCCTAGTGTAATGAATGTGAAAACAAAACTTAAGTTCACTAGTTTTTTCGGTCAAGAGTATCTTACGCTGTCTGTAAAAGGAGGCACCTACACTATGTTCCGCTCTTTCTCTCTCTGATGCCAAACCTCGTTCCTCCCAATGACTTCTGGCTACTCCACTAGCGTAAGTAGATGAATTTACTGCTACAACTGCAGAATATTGTGAATTAAGCTTGATGTGTACCGATTTTCCCATGCTTCTCTTCGTTACCATAGAGTTCAGCTTCATAAGCCTGAGAGTCGAAAAATGCAGAAGAAAACATCGGACACACACACACACACACACACACACACACATACGCACAAATACACGCACACACACACACGTACAGGCGTTTCTCCAAAATATTTTTTTTTTTTTTTTTCTAGATTTTATCAGTAATGCAAATCGCGTAAAAAGTGCTGCAAAAAATATGTAAAAAACATTGCAGAAAC